TCACCTGCTCCTCCCTGTGTTGCTTCTTCTGCAGAACAAGTAATGGATCATCAAACTGTTATTAAAATGGAGTCCATCAAATCTAACCAAGAAATACAAAGCAATCAAGAAGAGCAGAGAATTGAGAAAGACAACAAGACAAATTACATAAATTGTCAGATCTCAGAAGTGCTGGCCAAAGTTGGAATGTCCTGTTTTGATGTATTGCCTGTTGTTAAGAGCCATGTATTTCTTGGGAGAATATCTCAGATGCCAATTTTGATTGATGAAGAAAAGGCTGTAATTGCTGATTTCTGTTTGAATCAGGTATGTTTATGCTTTACACAATTCAGATGGCTTTTCTAGTTAATGCAGCCTTGAGGATATTGATGCACACATTTTTCTTCTGTTTCTTTAGTCTTCAGCAGAAAAGCTCATGTCTGCCATCTTGACTAAATTAAAGACTGAGAAGAGCATTCTGATTTGTGAAAATGTACAAGCTCTCTGTAGAGTCTACACAGGGATATGTCGCCAGATAGGGAACTATCAGAAAGCACATGCCTTAGCATATAATATTATCAAAGAGGGTGAGTTTACAGCAACTTCTTCCATTATATTTATACAATATGCTAATTTTAGTTCTTTACCCATTTTAAGTGTTTGCATTAGTACACTTTCAAAGACGAAACGTGTCCTTTGAGTTGATTCAATCCAGATTCTTTACTCACAGATTTTCCTAATGCCTCCAAGCTAATTTTATTCATGGTCACAACATGGCCAAGTGTGCTCTTCCATGAGACCTCCTTGTGCAAAGCCATTCATACAGTGGCCAAGCTTAAAGCAGATGATGACATTTTGGAATACCTGACTAAATATCTACACTGGGATGAGGTAAGCAGTCTTCATGGCCTATTATTTTGCTTGCTTTCTCTGATGGCTGGAGCTAACATCACTACCATGATTTATTCCATTACCAATAACTATTAATACAAAGCCTATAGATGCTGTAATTTCCATCCTGACCCTGTTAACTTTCCTCTGGGCATTGTATAAAGAGTGGGCACACAACAGTGTAACTTTTTTTTTTTTTTTTTACCTTTAAATTAATGCATGAAAGTAATGTTTTTAGATAGTTGCATTTTGTCAGTTGTCCCTTAATATTTTCTAGAGTCCTCCTGATGACGTTCATAAATTGATCAGCAGCACACTAAAGGCACTTCAAGAAGACAAAGATTTGACATTCCAGAAGCATGATCGTCATGGTCATGACCTTTGCCCAGCTGCATGGGAATATATACTGTATATACCTTGGATCTCTTGTGTACACAAATGAAATGGAAATGGACACATGATTATGTTATTGGGTATATTTATCTACTGCATACAGATTGTTAAATCATTTTGCATCAAGCATACATAATGTATTTTTTTAAATAATACATAATATATTTATCATGATTTTTTTTTATAGCAAAGAGCTGTGGCCCATCATGAACACTTGGGTGACACAACCAAGGTTTCAGCAATCCCCAGTCCGTGATGTTTCTGTAGCAGCTGTGTTGCGATTGATTGGTAAGTTGAGTTTGCATGAAGTGATTAATACTGTATTTAGTTTTAAAGTAATTGTAAAGTTTTATATTTGAATTTAAATATAAAAATAAAATCTATGAAGTTAAAATATTATAATGTTTCATACTTTTTTCTAATTAATATTTAATTTAACTTTCCAAGTCTTTAATTTAAATGATTGGTTTGATTAATGATTAATTTCCTTCAGCTCAATGGTGCATTTCATAACAGTACCGAGTCAGAATGTCATGAAAAATAATGGTTTAAAAAATACCACAAATAATATAAAAGAGCCTTTTAAGAGATGTGATTTGTATCTTTTGTTTGTATTTCTCCAGGACGACTTGGTCAGTTAGGAATGAGGCAGATTCTATGTAAATCAGTCCAAAATGTTGCAAAAGCTATAAACCTCTTTGGAAAACATGGGATTACTGAAGGTACTGAACATCAAATAATGTAACATAACTGTAATAGCAAATTAAAAATATTGTAATACATTATTTTGCTTTATTTGTTTGTTTGTTTGTATATAAACCTATAGCTTTAGACTTAGCAGCCCACCATGAATCACAATTCAACCATTTGTTATGATTGCAGGTGTGCCTATTGAGGTGCAGTTGTCTGCCGTCTATGCCATTTATGACCTGGCACCCTGCAACCCCAAAGATGCCATGGAGGCTCTGGCATCATGGCGAAGTGAAACCACACAGCCAATACCCTCTGCTGTGACCAGCTGTATCACTCAGATTGGATCTATTTGTCGTCAAATGAAAACCTGAATTTTTTTATTTTTATCACTTCGTATGCTCTTTTTAATTTTTTTTTGTTTATTTTTTTTTTTCGACTGTGATCTGTAACTGATTGTGAACTGTGATTGGTTACTGAAAATCAAGGAAATCATGCCGTTATTGTACATTTATGTATATTATGTATATTAAAGAAAATAACTTTATACCATAAAGATAATTTGTATTGAACTTAAAAATGTTGTTTTGTCAGCATCAACATTCAGAACAATTTTTTTTCTATTTCTAGTCTAAAATGGTGACAATCGAAAAAAACATTTTCTGCTTGGAATATTATATTCTTGATACATTATCTGCTTTTGTCCTGATCTGATTAGACACTTAGGAACTGTTGTTCGTTATGTAATGCATCCTTTTATAATTTTAGTTCTGATTGTTTTCATGGCATTTTTTGATTTAAAGACGGTGAGAGAACCTTTCATAAAATTCCAGTTTGGAAGTGTTGTGGTTAATAACAGCGTGAAGGTAAATTGTGGCTGAGAAAGCAACTTCTGATGATCATGTTTTGTTTCAGTCTTGACTTCTAAACTCTCAACTGCAATTTATTGGGAGCAGTAAGCTGCGCCAAGTAATGTCAATTTGATCTAGCAATATATTTGAAATGATCTATCTTTATTAGAAATTTTCTTTATTTAATAATCTTTAATTTTCCAGCTGCAGACCCACCAAAACCATGTTTTTACATGCTAGGTTGCTTTAATTTCATTAATGGGGGGAAGTTTTTATAACGTTAAATAAAAAGAATTCACTATATTGCAAAAGAAAAAAACTCCTAGAATTCCGCTGTAAATACTCGCATCACATTTTTTATTGGATTGGATAAATGGGTGGGGAAATTGAAGGGGGTGTTACTCTTCCAAAAATAATTTAAATTCTCAGACATGCGCACTCTAGTCGAGATTCCCTGCACGCCATATTTGGAATGCTCTGGATTCAACAGTTCGCTGCAAACCATCTCACGCAGAGGAACTCTCTTGGTTTATTTCGTGTTCCGTTTTTAAACTTCTACTCAGCCTCTCGCAAATTCACGTCAGTCTTGTGACTCTTGAGGACGCCTGTCTAACCTAACGAGAGAGTGTTTGTGAGCTTTGTAACAGTAAAGTTGGATGGATCCTCGGATGGCTTGGATTCAGCCCGAGCAAAAAAGACCTGCCAACGTTTTATGGATGCGCGTATGGGAAACCTCGCAAAGGCGAAACCACTGTTACTCGCTGCGGGTGAATACACCTGCTTTGGCGGCCAGTTTTGTGAAGCAGTTATCGCTGCTTCCCACCAACACAGCTGAAAAACCAATTAACAGTTCCTCCAATCAGCCTTATAATGATAGTGGTGCCATGCGATCTACAAACGCATTCTCTGATCCTGCACCTCCGTGTGTTACCCCTATCGGAGTCAACGGTTGTGATTCTTCGCCTTTATCTTCAGAAGATTCCGAGAGTGACAGTCCGACATCAGATTCCTCGTCTGCCATTGGTGACAGTATGAGCGCACATCCAACCAAACTTCACTTTAACTTTTCTGAAGATCTGCACAATTTCAATAACAGTTTACAACAACATTACCAGCGGCTACATACTCAAATAATTATGGATAACCAACTTAAACACCATCCAGTAAGAAAGAGAAGTGACAATAAAGCGAGTACATATGGAATGAACTACTTTATGTCCCACTCTAATGGCAGTCATTTATGTGGGACCCCTTGGGCAACCAGACAATACAGTCCAGGTGTCAACGGGTAAGAGCATGTTCCTTATGTTGGGAGACACTTTTCACTTTTATATTTTTTTCATTTATTTAGTTTATTCATTTATTAACTGAGCAGGTCCAGAGCAATATTATGAACTGTAGAGCCAGACAAACAAATAAGCAAGTTTAAAGTCTAACAATTCAGAACTAAATGCGTTTAGAAGCACAATTACTATTAGTTACTCTCAGGAAAACTATCAACTGAGGAAAGTTGTTTATGGTATCAAGTCAGCTTTATTTCTGTAGTGCTTAATACAATACAGATTGTGTTAGAGCAATTAATTCAGCCTAACATTGTACTTTGAATTATACCATAATTCAAAGTACAGTGTTGGACTCTATTTGTATTGCCAATCTATTACACCTTTGGGGCAAAGATTAAAAGCTTTGGACATAACACTCCATAACATTCTACAAAACCAGCACTGGCTCTGCACCCCTTTACCTAAATTCATTACTTCAGACTTATGTGCCCTCTAGAACAGGGCTGTCCAAACTCTGTCCTGGAGGGCCGGTGTCCTGCATAGTTTAGCTCCAACCCTAATTAAACACTTGAACCAGCCAATCAAGCTCTTACTAGGCATAGAAACTTCCAGTCAGGTGTGTTGAGGCAAGTAAACTCTGCAGGACACCGGCCCTCCAGGACCGAGTTTGGACAGCCCTGCTCTAGAAGCTTGCGTTCTGCTAGTGAACTGCACTTTATTGTGCCATCCCAAAGAGGCACAAAATCACTTTCTCTGACTTTTAAATTAAATGTTCCCTCCTGGTGGAATGACCTACTCAACTCAGTCCGAGCAGCTGAGTCCTTAACCATCTTCAAGAATCGGCTGAAAACACATCTTTATTTGACCCTCTAACTCTAGCACTCTCTTTTCTAATTCTATTCTTTATTTCGTGTTCCGTTTTTAAACTTCTACTCAGCCTCTCGCAAATTCACGTCAGTCTTGTGACTCTTGAGGACGCCTGTCTAACCTAACGAGAGAGTGTTTGTGAGCTTTGTAACAGTAAAGTTGGATGGATCCTCGGATGGCTTGGATTCAGCCCGAGCAAAAAAGACCTGCCAACGTTTTATGGATGCGCGTATGGGAAACCTCGCAAAGGCGAAACCACTGTTACTCGCTGCGGGTGAATACACCTGCTTTGGCGGCCAGTTTTGTGAAGCAGTTATCGCTGCTTCCCACCAACACAGCTGAAAAACCAATTAACAGTTCCTCCAATCAGCCTTATAATGATAGTGGTGCCATGCGATCTACAAACGCATTCTCTGATCCTGCACCTCCGTGTGTTACCCCTATCGGAGTCAACGGTTGTGATTCTTCGCCTTTATCTTCAGAAGATTCCGAGAGTGACAGTCCGACATCAGATTCCTCGTCTGCCATTGGTGACAGTATGAGCGCACATCCAACCAAACTTCACTTTAACTTTTCTGAAGATCTGCACAATTTCAATAACAGTTTACAACAACATTACCAGCGGCTACATACTCAAATAATTATGGATAACCAACTTAAACACCATCCAGTAAGAAAGAGAAGTGACAATAAAGCGAGTACATATGGAATGAACTACTTTATGTCCCACTCTAATGGCAGTCATTTATGTGGGACCCCTTGGGCAACCAGACAATACAGTCCAGGTGTCAACGGGTAAGAGCATGTTCCTTATGTTGGGAGACACTTTTCACTTTTATATTTTTTTCATTTATTTAGTTTATTCATTTATTAACTGAGCAGGTCCAGAGCAATATTATGAACTGTAGAGCCAGACAAACAAATTTAAAGTCTTAAAGTCTAACAATTCAGAACTAAATGCGTTTAGAAGCACAATTACTATTAGTTACTCTCAGGAAAACTAGGAAAGTTGTAAAGTTGTTTATGGTATCAAGTCAGCTTTATTTCTGTAGTGCTTAATACAATACAGATTGTGTTAGAGCAATTAATTCAGCCTAACATTGTACTTTGAATTATACCATAATTCAAAGTACAGTGTTGGGCTCTATTTGTATTGCCAATCTATTACACCTTTGGGGCAAAGATTAAAAGCTTTGGACATAACACTCCATAACATTCTACAAAACCAGCACTGGCTCTGCACCCCTTTACCTAAATTCATTACTTCAGACTTATGTGCCCTCTAGAACAGGGCTGTCCAAACTCTGTCCTGGAGGGCCGGTGTCCTGCATAGTTTAGCTCCAACCCTAATTAAACACTTGAACCAGCCAATCAAGCTCTTACTAGGCATAGAAACTTCCAGTCAGGTGTGTTGAGGCAAGTAAACTCTGCAGGACACCGGCCCTCCAGGACCGAGTTTGGACAGCCCTGCTCTAGAAGCTTGCGTTCTGCTAGTGAACTGCACTTTATTGTGCCATCCCAAAGAGGCACAAAATCACTTTCTCTGACTTTTAAATTAAATGTTCCCTCCTGGTGGAATGACCTACTCAACTCAGTCCGAGCAGCTGAGTCCTTAACCATCTTCAAGAATCGGCTGAAAACACATCTTTATTTGACCCTCTAACTCTAGCACTCTCTTTTCTAATTCTATTCTTTATTTTTTTAAACTTGCCCCTTTTAGACTTGCACTCTATTTATTTCCTAACTGCTTGTTTTCTTAAAAAAAACACACACACACACACACTTGCTTCTCTAATCTTTTTGCATTCTATCTATTTGTTTTCTTTTTATTTATTATACAATTCTAATTCTGACATTCTGACTTCTGATTAACAAAAGCAAAAAAAGGCCTCTAACACTAGCTTGCTCTATTCTTTTTCCATTCTATCTGTTTTTTTATTTATTATATGATAAAAAAAAAAAAACCTTGCTGCTTGTACTGCATTAAGCTAACTGAGACTTGTTAAAGCACTTGCTTATCATTGCTCTTTTGTTGATTTTGATTGCTTCCATTGTCCTCATTTGTAAGTCGCTTTGGATAAAAGCATCTGCTAAATGTCTAAATGTAAACATTTCTATAATTATTATAGAAATGTGATGGTGTGTTGTGTCCAAAGCTTTTAATCTTTGCCCCAAAGGTGTAATAGATTGACACTGATGCAGGTCTGAATTAGTTCATCAATTACTACTGCGGTATTTTGATTCCATGTTTGGAGGGTCCCAGGGTTTCAGAGAATCTGAAGACCAATCAGCTTATGTATGTTTGTATGCATGTATGTATGTATTTTATTTATTTATTTTAAACCGCAGTTAAGGTTTAAAGATTAAGATCAAGTCCCTTTCTTTCACAACCTACAAAAAGTGATAAGCTTTCATTTGTTTTGAAAATTGAAAATGTGCCTATTGTTTGTCACTTAAAGGAACAGTTCATTTAAAAATGAAAATTGTGTCATTTATTTATGCGCATTCTAACTGTGTCCCATGAGTTGCATGAGTTAGTGCACTCTAAGTGCTGGGTTGCGTCAAGAAGGGTATCCGGCATAAAACCTGTGCCAAATAGCTGTGCTGATAATTCCATTGTGGCGACACCTAACGGTAGCAGCCGAAGAAAAGTTAGCGGGAGACGTTCATGTTTTTTTCAGTGGTACACAAAAAGGCCACTCTTTCCAATTCTTGACATCCACCCTAGGTCTCTGTGTGAGCTGTTGGATTCCTAAACTAATTACTCAAAGTGACGTTATCAGAGAAGAAGGGAACGGTTTCATTTTTTGATTAAAGATTATGAAGACTTTCATCTGACTAGACAAGTACATTGCACATGCATAGTCAATTATTACAAGGGAACTGAGTAAAGCCCAAGGTATACTTCTGCGTCGAACTTACGCTGTAGCCACACATAGACGCACACCCTATGCCATAGCTTGACGTGCACCTCCAAAAATCTAACAGCGCGTCAATTCTACGCGGACCGCAATCGCTGTGATTGGTGTGGTAGAACCCCTCCCTCCGTATGTACTTAAGTTTTGTGTGTGTTTGTGCACTTTAAAGGGGTCATATGATGCTATTTTAAAGATCTTTTTTTTGTGTGTATTTGGTGTAACCAAATATGTTGACATGCTTTAATGTTCAAAAAACACATTATTTTTCAAATACTGTACATTATTGTAGGTCCTCTATGCCCCGCCTCTCTCAAACACGTCGTTTTCAACAAAGCCCCCTCCTTTGACAAGCACAGTCTGCTCTGATTGGCCAGCTGACCCAGTGCATTGTTATTGGCCGAACAACACCACAAGCACACGTCGGAAATGTAACGCCCCTTACCATAATCGCGAGCATCAGCTTTCAAAGTAAATATCAAGACCGTTAATAATGTCGTTAGTTTTACCATCAGTTCAAGCCTGAAAGGGCAACAGAGTCGCATGACAGACACAGTGATGATGCAGTACAAGACAAGATTAAGACAGCTGACGTGCTATGATTTCTGACAGGCAGTTCACTCTCCTGTGATGTGACCCTGTTCCCCTCACACACACAACGCATTACTCTGCGCTGCGCAAAATTCAGCATTTGAACAGTCAATAGCAAATACTTAAACTAATAACAAAACATACTTGCAGTCGCTGATTCAGAAGCGCCAGATTGTCATAGCAAAGTCGGAATTTACCCTTTTTTTTTTTTTGTCTTTGTGCACAGCCAGCCTTGTACTCTTCTAGGTTCAAATAACTGTCGTCCATAAAATGCGTTGCACAAATTCGAACATCTGGGTTGTGCTGTTCTGTTGTAAATAAATCTTAACAAATGATTCCTAATTGCATCTACTTCCGGAAGGCCAAATAAAGTGCTTTTGCTTTCACACTGAAATACACAGCGTCTCCCTGACATGGCTGCATCAACACTACTGCTGTTCCTGAAACCACACCGCCTTTCTTTGCGTGCACATTTGGGCGGCATTATGCTAATATTTCCACATGTGGGGGCGTGTTAGAATGAGCTGTTTTAGGTAGGCGTGGTTGACTCTTAACTTATATAAAGAATCTCTCTTTGGAGTTGAGAATTCCATCTTTGCAGCTTTACAGATCTTCTTTATGCACCAAGAGCTTGTAACACTCCAAAGAGAAAGGAAAACTTGAAATCGCATCATATGACCCCTTTAATATATTTTAATGTTACATAAAATAAAACAACGCAAAGAACAAGTGTCTTATTTATTATACTACATAGCATTATACATCAGTAGTTGTCCGCAACAAACAATGTTGATCTGCCGTGGTACAAGTCCTTGTGGAGATTGAATGAATGCCATCATCTCCTGTTCTGTTGTTGTCTCCTTTTTGTGGTTTTAAATAATGATTTAATGAGTTGATATTTATTTGCCACCGTCACGGCTATAATGCTTCTCCGATGAGCCATTTCTTCTTCAGCTTTTGCCGTGGAACTGCGGGTTACACCAGCAACATGCCCGTGGACACTACAGACTAGCGGTTTGCATGTGTACTGCACGTCGATTCCTATTATACCGACGCAGAAGTATAAATGAAAACTGACGCATAGCCTACGGCGTAGGTCCGACGCAGAAGTATAAATCAGCCTTAAGATACACAAGTAACATTAACATTTACTTACATTTTATTAGTATTGTACTCTTAAAGGGTTAGTTCACCCAAAACTGAAACTTCTGTCTTTAATTACTCACCATCATGTTGTTTCAAACCCGTAAGACCTTCGTTCATCTTCAGAACACAAATTAAGATATTTTTGATGGAGTCTGTCCCTGCATAGACGGCAACGCAACTGAAATGTTCCTAAGTCCAGAAACGTAGCAAAGAAATCTGTAAAATAATCCATGTGACATCAGTGGTTCATCCGCAATTATACGAAGCTACGAGAATACTTTTTGTGTACAAAAACAAAACAAAAACGACTTTATTCAACAATTCGTCTCCTCCGCATCACCCTGGTGCCATTTTGGAGAATATCAGCTGGACGTAAACAACGTATGATGTTCTTTGTCAGCTGCGTCAGACAGCTCTCAGATTTAATCAAAAATATCTTAATTTGTGTTCCTTAGATGAACGAAGGTCTTACAGGTTTGAAACGATATGAGGGTGAGTAATTAATGACCGAATATTCATTTTTGGGTGAACTAACCCTTTAACCCACTTATACATTCAGTCTGGTGAGTAAGCAGCTTTCCCAACACCTTTCCATTGCTCCATTAATCTGGTTTTCAGAAACCTGTAAGAAAGTCTAATTGCATTACATATTTCCTGTACATGTATGTAAAACTTTTGGTTACCCGATGGGACACACTTGCAACCTAAAGCTCTGTAAAACTTGTATTTTTTTACAACACTATTTACACATTTTGATTTAATACTGGGCTTTTTAAAATTAACTTCTGAAAGTGTGCTCCGAAGTCCCTTTGTAATGGAGGACACAAATGTTTATACTCCCCAGCCTCCATGAAGAGATAGTGGATTTTTATCATTTCATGTCACCACGCCCAGAAGAGGAAGAAATGAGGAGAGATGTTGTCAATCGTGTTGTGGCTGTAATCAAAGATCTGTGGCCCATGGCAAAGGTGAGTCTAGCACAAAGAGATTGTATGTTGCTGTTTAACAGTGGAGGACAAAAAAAGCTATATTCATCTAGGCCTGTCACGATAACAACTTTTTGTTGTGCGACATATTGCCCCAAAAATAATTGCAATAAGCGATATTATTGTCATTTTAAAGTCCATTTTATGCCTCTGAATATATAATCATAATGTAACAGCATAATAATGCAAGAAGGCCTACACACTTCCAAATAACAACAAATGTTTCATTTTTAAGAATATTTAGATCAGGGAAATACCTTAAAAAACCTGAATAAATAGTAAATAAACATTTTCTAACAAAAAGTGCAAAGTAAGTAGAAAAAAAGAAAAATGCAAAAAAAAAACTTGCATGCAGATTTTTCCATCTACAAATTTATAAGCTCATCTTAACGAGAGAACACCTTTAATATTTGCCTTTCCAAACAAATTTTTCTTTAGATTTTCTGTCACTACATGGTAAATTGCAGTTTGACGTATTTGTGGCTTTGATGTGAACAAGGTCAGCCAAAGATTGCAGAGTAAAGTGCATGTAATAGTCCATCGCCATGTCTTTTTAAAGTGCTATTTTCTGTTTTCAGGTTGAAATATTTGGCAGCTTCAGTACAGGACTTTATCTTCCTACCAGGTATTGCATGTGATTGTCCATATGTTGTAATTTTATTTTGTTATTGTGTGGTTTTGTTTTTAATTGCATTATGTAGTGATATTGACCTGGTGGTGTATGGAAAATGGGAACAACCTCCTCTGCAGCAGCTGAACCAGGCACTCAGGCAGAATAAAGTGGCTGAGCCGTTCTCCATTAAACTGCTTGACAAGGCTACGGTTAGTCATTATTTGTTCTTCATTGATCACCTATAGGTTGCAATCCCTACCTCTTCATTGAAGTGCCTTTAGAAGTGTGTTGTGTTGTTTTTTTTGTTTATTTTTTTTTCTTCAAATAAATAAGGTTAAGTTCAGACTGAAATGATCAGGGGATCTATTACATAATTGTTTTGTATGCAGCAAGGAACACAGGATTGCCAGGTCTGCATAAAACCTCCAGGAGGTTCCACCTTGGTTGAAATTGTGTTGGGGGTGGGTTCGCTTCAACTGTGGGAACTGTATGAAAGTAGGCCAATTTCGTGGGAAATCAGCAGACTTGGCAACACTGCAAGAACAGCCAAGGTTTGGTGAACAGCTTGGTTTTATTTAAAATTTTTGGACTAGGGATAAATAATGAGCTCTGAAAGTTGAAGTATTGCAGTTTGTCATGTTCTAAAATTTGATTTACATATACGTTTACATTTACATTTAGTCATTTAGCAGACGCTTTTATCCAACGCGACTTACAAATGAGGACAATGGAAGCAATCAAAATCAACAAAAGAGCAATGATATACAAGTGCTATAACAAGTCTCAGTTAGCATAATGCAGTACAGTAGCAAGGGTTTTTTTAAATAATATAATAAATAAAAAGAAAACCAATAGAAATAGAATAGATAGAGCAAGCTAGTGTTGGAGGTCTTTTTACTTTTGTTAATTGTATAATAAATGCAAAGAATACTGATAGAATACAAAAAAATTAGAAAGCAAGTGTTAGTTTTTAACAACTTTTATGAACTTTTAAAATGTAACAATTTTTGATTTATCATATGAACCCCTTAAAATCTGTTATGAAGGGCAAAAAATGAACATGCAAGTGATATGGGAGATTGTAAATGACAGGCATTCAAATGACGATTCTGTACGGTGTTAAATCTTAGTTACAAGATTGCATTTTGACAGAACTTCTACTTTTGCAATCAGGGCTGCTATTGAGGTGAAAGTCCAAAAGAAATTCTGAATAAATCGCACTGTTCTTTAGTGTTTCACTGGTGATTGGAGAAAAGAAAAAAAAACAGTAATCATTCCAAAATTAAGCCTTCTTTCCGAGAACTAAGGAATTGGTTTAATTTTCAGAGCTTTTTCTTTACAGGTACCAATAATTAAACTGACTGACAGAGAGACAGATGTGAAGGTAGACATCAGTTTTAATGTTGAAACTGGTGTCAAAGCAGCTCGGTTTATTAAGGATCATCTGAAGGTGAGAGATTCATTTGTAATTCATACTGCAATTCATTTGAGCACACTAAACCCAGATTAAGTGCTTGATTTGGTGTGGTAGAACTAAAAACATGTAGCCACCGAATTTTTTAAACATTAAAGCTGATTTGCATTGATATTGACTGATTAATGTATCCATAACCTGACATTTTATGAGAACTTAAATATTTCTTATATACATGTACTGCAGTTCTTTATTTTTTTTTAATGTAGAAATATTCCGTGTTGCCGTACTTGATCTTTGTGCTGAAGCATTTTCTGCTCCAGAGAGATTTGAACGAGGTGTTTACAGGCGGTATCAGTTCCTACAGCCTCATTTTAATGGTCATCAGCTTCCTGCAGGTGAGGCATCAATAAAAGGTATTTCCATGTGCTTTTGTACATAGTGATTTCCAGCCAGTGTTTTCCTACTGCTAATTGATATAATTTGTTCTCATTTGGTCTTTTGACCATAATTTATATAACAGTACTTAGCATCTCTTGGGAATATTGAACTTCATGGTATGAACACAATTGATTGATTTGATCATGTAATTGTTAAAATAAACCATTATGTCTTTTGGTGTTTATTTCAGCTCCATCCCAGAATAGACTGCAGAGCTTCCAATATTAATTTGGGCATCCTGCTCATTGAATTCTTTGAATTGTATGGGCGCCATTTTAATTATCTGAAAACAGGCATCCGTGTGAAGGATGGAGGAGCTTATCTTGCTAAAGGGGAGATCATGAAGGTCATGGAGAATAGATATAGACCCTCAATGCTCTGTATTGAGGACCCAAACTTGCCAGGTATGGGACAAACCAACCAGTTTTATCCCCTTGTATTGGTTTCAAGTTAAATTGAGGGTTGTGCAGATGTGTGCTTGAAATGGCACTGTGTACAGTTGTAGAATGGTAAAAAAGAAAAATCTTTCTTTCGAAGTTTGAAAAGCTGTATTAATGGCTACATTGTTGATTTATCCTTACAAAAGTGAAATTAAAGCATTTGAATTTTAACAGTTCTCTGTATGTTAGGAAATGATGTTGGCCGGAGCTCTTATGGTGCCATGCAGGTGAAGGAGGTATTTAACTATGCATACCTTGTCTTGAGTCATGCTGTGTATCCACTATCCCGCTCCTACCCCAACAGAAATATGGAAAGGTTAGTACCATAAAAAGGAAAGTGGCAGCCACAAAAATTTGTGCTGGTTGAATGTTTTTTGCCAGTGAAGTCTTAAAGGTCCCATATTGTCAAAACTTTTCATGATAACTGAGGTCTAGGTGCTATGTAACTACCATATAAGTTTTAAAACAGTCAGTCCACAGTAAAATTCACACAGCCTGCTTAAAGCAGCTGTGATTTTTCACGAACCGTTGTGACTTCCGTAAAAAGTTGACGTCAGAACTACACAGTCACGGCCATCAGTCACCACCCCGAGCACTGCCCACCGTCCCACTCTCCTTTTGCCAAACCTCAGACAACATTGCGGAAACATGTCGAAAAGGTTAACTTTAACCATGAAACCAGAACGGCCGACCTGTAACGTTACACTCTCACTCAAAGGATGGACGATCTGACAGGATTGTTACTATGAGGTGGATCACATCTAACGTGCATAGTAAAGACAAACTCACCGTGTCTATCTAGTCATGATTCAGAAAAACAAAGGGGAAACTGGAGGCGGCCCATTCAAACCAGCGCAAATCACAGCTACTTTAAGCAGGCTGTTTGAATTTTACTGTGGACTGACTGTTTTGAAACTTATATGGTAGTTACATAGCACCTAGACCTCAGTTATCATGAAAAAAGCCAGGAAATTTCAGTTTTGACAATATGGGACCTTTAAAGAGTTAGTTCACCCAAAAAAGGAATCATGTAATTTTTTACTCGCTCCCATGTTGTTCAAAACCATCAGACTTTTATCTTCAAAACGGAAATAAAGATATTTTTAATTAAACCTGAGATATGCCCTTCCATTATCCATTTCACTAAAACTTTGACACTTCAAAAAGTTCATTTATTCACATATAAACATTGAATTAATGCACACAGAGCCCATTAAATGGGTACAAAATGGAAGCTTTTGTTTCCTATATTTGGTGTGTGTGTGTGTATAATTTTGGCTTTGTAATGACATGAGGCTTAGCAATTCATGACAGTATTAACTTGTTTTGAATGTTATCATGCTGTGTAATTTTACTGTCCTCAGTGTAAAATGAACTTTTATATGGCTAGACAGCCTAGTATTTTGTCTGTAAATGTGAAATTATCTAATTGTTTTATTTTTTAGCAATTTCAAATAAGTGTGGATATTGTCCTATGACTTCACTCTCCTAATCATCATCAAATACATCAAAATGGACACTGTGCATATTGATCCTATTTAAATATTTCCTTTATCTCATTGTGGTCTACATTCATGCGTGATCATAAATGTAACTTGTATGCAAGTTATGTACACTTAATCACCATTTATTATATTTATGTTGTTTTACCTCCCATTACACTGCTCAAAAAAACTTAGGGAACACTTAATCATCAAAATATAAAACCAAGTCAGTTAAACTTCAGGGATATCAATCTGTCCAGTTAGGAAGCATAAGTGATTGTGGATACGTTTAATCTGCTTTGCTGCAAATGAAAGCGACAACAGGTGCACTGAAGAGGCAACAGCAAGACGACCCCTATAAAGGGAATGGTTTTGCAGCTGGTGGCCACAAACAGATGCTTTCTCCTTATGCTTCCTGACTGATTTGTCTCTAGTTTTGTTTTGTTAGGGTCCTTCTCAGTACTTGTAGCATGAGGCAGTACTTGCAACCCAGTCAGGTTGCACAGGTAGTCCAGCTCCTCCATGATGGCACAGCCATACATGCCGTCGCAAGGTTTGGTGTGTCTCCCAGCACAGCCTCAAGGGTATGGAGGAGATACCTGGAGATGGGCTGTTACATGAGGTGAGCTCGGCAGTGCTTGTAGAGGGGCAACAATCGAGCAGTAGGACCTTTATCTGCTCCTTTGTGCAAAGAGGAACAGGAGGATCACTGCCAGAGCCCTACAGAATGACCTTCAGTAGGCCACTCACTGGAGTGCATGTTTTTGACCAGACGGTCAGAAACGGTCTCAATGAGGGTGGCATGAGGGCCTGACAACCTGTAGCAAGACCTGTGCTCACAGGCCAGCACCATGCAACTCAATTGGCATTTGCCAGAGGACACCAGAATTGGCAGGTCCACTACTGGCACCCCGTTCTCTTCACGGATAAGAGCAGGTTTAAACTTGTGGCTGATGTGAAACTGTCTGTGGATATGCTGTGGGGAACATTTTCCGTTCTGTTGTCATATGTCCGTTTTGATGGACCATGCCTAGATGTTGTCTGCGGTGCATATAGGCATGTCATACACACTGCTGACTTGCATTATGAGTTGCTGTGAGATGAAAGTTGGATAAGCCCTCAATGGGTTGATGGTTTTGGTTTCCACTGACCATTGTCACATTTTGGTCTCGGTGAAATACAATGTATGCAAGTAAAGATTTTCAACTGGAATATTTTGTTCATCAAGATCCAATGTGTGATATATATATATATATATATATATATATATTTTTTTTTTTTGTTCCCTTAATTTTTTTGAGCTGTATGAATGTGTGTGTGTGGAACTGCCACTCCACTATATAATAGGAATATATATTTTTTCTGCATTAATAAGAATAAAACTATTAATATTGATAAATTATGAATAAAGAGCTGAAGAATTGTTTTTTTCCCCCCCTTTACAAATTAGTTTTTGGTTCTTTAATGGTGACACTTTTTTAGTGCATTAAAGTGTCCGATTCAATATCTTGGCAAAATCATTTATTTATATGTATGGGTGTTATTTTAAATTATTTTTTCTGCATTAATAAGAATAAAACTATTAATATTGATAAATTATGAATAAAGAGCTGAAGAATTGTTTTTTTTCCCCCTTTACAAATTAGTTTTTGGTTCTTTAATGGTGACACTTTTTTAGTGCATTAAAGTGTCCGATTCAATATCTTGGCAAAATCATTTATATGTATGGGTGTTATTTTTAATTTGTAATCTTAAGCCCGTTGGGACGCATCATTAAGGTGACCCAGGAAGTAATTGACTACAGGGAGTGGATCATTCAGCAGTGGGGAAACCGACACAATGCCAGGATGATGGACATTAATGGTAAGTTATTATAATGGATTTTATTAAAAAATGTTAATGGCTCCTTTTTATGCTTTGTGAATGAGTGTTGTGGGTTTTAACTTTTTAAGTTAAATTTTAAGTCCAGAATGTTGAAGGAGACCCAGAGGAGCAGACCTCAAGTGAGGACCAGCAGAGAGATTCTACGTCACCACACAGAGCAGGCTCAGCTGTATCTCTGTCCAGCCTTCATCAGCAATCTTCATCTTCATCTTCCTCTGTGTCCTCGCTGTCTGGGAGTGACCTTGTAAGCTCCTCGTGTAGTTTCTTGGAAGTACAAGAGAAGTCGTTAAAGGCATATGTCAACGCATTTCTGCATTAAATCCACTGAGTCCTACCAAAATCCGTCGAATCCCTACAAAACCATTAAGCTCTCATTATGTTGGCTTCATAATTTACTACATTTTACATCTGCCACTGACTTTTTTTTTTTCATTCTCTTTCAGGATTCTGACACACCATGCAAAGCTTCAGTTCTTCACAAGTTCTTTCCAGTGTCGTGCATGACCGATAACAATAAAAAACCACAGAGAAAAGCAAATGCATCTGGATCTTTCCTCCACTCCAGGCTGTCTGGGAGTGACCTTGTAAGCTCCTCGTGTAGTTTCTTGGAAGTACAAGAGAAGTCGTTAAAGGCATATGTCAACGCATTTCTGCATTAAATCCACTGAGTCCTACCAAAATCCGTCGAATCCCTACAAAACCATTAAGCTCTCATTATGTTGGCTTCATAATTTACTACATTTTACATCTGCCACTGACTTTTTTTTTTTCGTTCTCTTTCAGGATTCTGACACACCATGCAAAGCTTCAGTTCTTCACAAGTTCTTTCCAGTGTCGTGCATGACCGATAACAATAAAAAAACCACAGAGAAAAGCAAATGCATCTGGATCTTTCCTCCACTCCAGAAGTCGGGTAATTCCTCCAATTTTAGTTAATTTGCACAGTCATTAAAGAATGAGAGAGTTGTTGCATCTCTCAGCGGCTCAACTCTGTTAATGCCATGTTGACCTTCTGGTGACATCCACCATTTTTTAAATGTTTTTCTGGGAGTCAGCTACACTAAGTGATGGTAGAACAGGTTGTTTGACACCTCTGAATGGCCATCAATAGGGAACAGCGTATTCTTATAAAATACTTTTTGCTTCCAGTTGTGGTTGTAGTTACTTATATAATGTTTTATATTACTCCTTCCTGTTTCAGTCGCACCCTTTACCCAGCAAACAATGTATGGATGGTTTGACTTCTGTGAAAGGATTAGTCCACATGTCTCCGGTTTACTCCAGCTCAATACCCAGCCCCAGTCACTACATTAATGTAAGAGACTTTTGTGATCATCTAGTATTAAACTCCTTTATCATGTCAGTGGTTGGGTATTTGCTTGTTTTAAGACTTCAATCCCCTTTTATTTATTTTTCCCCATTTGAAATACATGTGCCATCGTTCTGTCAAGGGGAAGACTAAATATCTATCTATCTAATCATCTATCTATATATCTGTCAGTGTTTTTTGCTTGTTTGTTTCAGAATGGCCAGAGATTTAAGGGGCCTCCACATACCTATTGTTTAGAGTGTAACATTGTGCCTATCCCCAGAGGACATCATCCTCCATATGGTTGTAACAGCTTGCGGAGGCGGCGAAGGGACACTGCTCCCATGAGTCTCAGCAGATAGTACCAACCATTTCTCCAAATAATGTGGGCCACAGTCTTTTGGTTCCATATATCAAAGGTAACCCTTCTGCTTAAGATGTACAACATCTGAAACGCACTTTGATTTTTGTTTTGCCCAGTGCTTTATCTGTGACCGCACATTTGGATGTGCCTGTTTTCATTTGTGCATTTTTCTACTTCCTCTGTTTTGTTGTCTTTTAAACTTTTGTTTGTATGACAATGTCTAATACCTTTTTTGTTTATTGATATTCTTTGTTTACTATTACGTTTAGTTAGTTGTGCATCTCTAATTGTTTTCATAATATTTTTGATAAGTCTTGTCACAGCATCGCTAGGCTGTGATTGTTTTTGTACTGTAAATCTTTATGTACCATCTGTGCAATATGGCGCTTTTTTAATTTTAGTTAAATTTTAATTTTTTTTTAAAAATTGAATGTAAGTTGACATTATACTATACAATATGGATTACTTTGTATGTGCGTAGTATTTTATCATGTTCAAATCCATATCACAACCAGTTTTATTGTTGGGATTTTGGTTTTGTGCATGTTGATCTTGTATGTACTGCAAACTACTTACCCATCTGCTGGCAGTTCAGACAAGCACTTAATTTTGTGCTGACAAATGGGTTAGTGCTTTAATCGTTTGCTCAGTATCAAAATCATCTCCCCTTTTTCAGATGTGTGTTTTCCATCCATATTACGTCTATTTTATTTAACACTTTAAAAGTATCCGTTGGATGACTTGAATATGCACTGTTTTAAGTTAACCAATTAGTATTCTTTGTTTGCACATGTGATCTCCTGATTAAGGACATACTATTTTTACTAGTTGCAGCAATGCTCTCCTTAATCAGTTACATATTCACTTGCTTTTGATGCATTTTCTCCACCCACCCTCAGATGCATGTAATGGTCTAAATGTTGTCGTCTTGGACTTCCTATTTTGCCACCAGATGGTGACCTTGCATCCAACTTTTTAAAATTTAATTTAATTTTATATAAATTGTGCTATAGTTAACCATGAACAAAACATTTGAGAAACATTTCACACTACATATTTATGTTCCAAAATACCTTTTGACGAGATTTGGCACTTCATACCTCTGATTCATAGACTCCATTTTGACCATTGTCAGTATGATCGCAAAGCCAGTTCTCGTCTGACTCTTAACTCTACCTGATGAACGGGGAACACTGAAGGTTTGAACACCAGAGAGGTTTGTTTCATGTGTCTTGAACGAGGAGAGTTTTGTGCCAATACAGTGATTTAGTTCCAGAAATCAATTACTGAATGCTCTATAAAGTCTTTTAACCTGCATGTAGGTGCTGTTTGAATGTAGTGTATGAAGTCTTAAGTTTAAGACTTTTCTGATATACGTTTTGTACTCCAAATATTTTTTTTAATAAACATCTTAAATTGCTGCTATCACTTTTGTCTTTATTTTTTCTTAAACTTGTGTACTATATTTGAGTCCTCTGTCTCACGGCAAGCATGAGCAGCATAAATTTACACCCATATTAACCAGTTACCATTTTTACACCGTTGTAGCACTGCAATAATGTGGCAACATTCACTACTAAAAAGTTGATAAATTACTTTATATACTGTTTATGTGTGTGTGTGTGTGTGTGTGTGTGTGTGTGTGTGTGTATATACACACACACACACTACCGGTCAAAAGTGTGATATCAGTGAGACGTGCATTTATTTAATCAAAAATACAGAAAAAAACAGTAATCTTGCAAAATGTTA